GGTTTCGATTTAACAGTTATGTTAAACCGTTGGCGGAAAAAGCTACGTAAATTTTGGAGGTAAAACTGCAAGCTTACCGCGCTTTATGTATAATTAATTATCTCTTCCGTGTTTCAGTGTACAAGGATTGTTTCACGTTCAATCGACGAAGAAAGTACTTTAATCAGAAAAAGAAATGGTACAACTCCACGATAGAAATCCAAAAGGTAATCATAGCATAGATGTAACGTAGCTAACATTCGCTTACTACTTTATTTATTCTTTTCTATATACCTTTAAGACCAAAAGGTCTTTGAGAAACAACCCTCTTGATATCTGCTCGTGTCGAAACGAAGAAAACGGTCGTGTACAGACCGAATGATGCTTACGTGTATTTCAAAAAGTAATAAGTATGCTCCTTCCGTTGCACTGCTTCAGGTATCTATCAAAAGTAATGAAGATTTAAATGTCTTCAAGCAACAGTGGACTTTTTCGTCAATCATGGCGTGTTCTAGAAGTGATGCTGTATAATGTTGTCCTTTGCATATTCAATGACTAAGTAAAGTTAGCAGTCATTGAAACTTATTCTACTTGAAGAGTCTCGGCGCTATAAATATATTTAATTGTGATGTTTTAGTTATTACCTTCTTTATTTTTTACGTCACAGGAAATAGGAAGAGAGAAGGTGAAGCAAACAGAAGCAGTGAAGTTATGTTAATATTAGTAGGCAAAAAGCTGGGACATTGCAAAGTCAAGAATAGTTTTCAGAGACGTAGCTTAGTGTTGTTATTGTAGCATTGTAACTTATCTGTCCGTGTATTAAAAATGTACTAAATCAAGTTGTGTCAAGTTCTCTAGGGAAAGTCTGATATTCTTGCGGGGGGCCTTTACTCCTCCATTTCAACAAAAATAGCTAGATTTGACGCCATTTTAAAAAGGCAGGTTAGCCCAATGCAGCGATAAACTCCTTTCACTAAATAGTCTGTTCGATTTCGCAAAAACTTCTAGGCGTTTTATGGTACAAATTGGTACAACGCGAACCAAAGTGAAGCAAACTCTTGAGGATATTATCAGCTTCGAGTCACGGATAATAGCCGCCCTTTAAATCTATAACCTAGCGCATTTGTCTCCCCCCAAAATTATTATCGTGTTGGCTATTAGAATATCTTTGATAATTACATTTCAAATTTGAAATCTTTCGCGCGTCATTTTTTCTCTCGGTGTGTGTGGAGGTCAATTCACAAGTATCAAGCAGTTTGGCTTCTAAGTAGAAAAAGCGCGCATCTCAAGACTAGTTTGGTAACTGTGGACGCATAATTTCCACATATGAGAAATTTTACACTCTCAGAAATTTGCGCACGTGCTAATCACATGTACGGTGTGTTTGCACCAAAAGACAGAGGTGAGATGACGTCTAAGAAGTATAAAAAAGCACGTCATTTGCGGGAATGACTTTGCAAAAAGCTCACGCGTCGAGATGCATAAAAATACATAAGGCAGCCCACTTGCGGGCCAGATCCACTTTAAAATATGTATGCAAGCGAATAATAAATCCTCTATCTGTTTATGGGTCAAAATCTTCCTTTAATGTGGGTGCTAGCGTTTGGGTTTGTTCTTTAATCGCGGCAAGCAACTTCCTTTTAAGCTTAAAAGATAGTGTCAAACTGAATAAAAATTCTAAGTTTCTCGGTAACGCATTCTTGCATTTGCCATGCTCAATGCTCAAAAGTGGAGAGCTTCCCTACAGTAATTATTGCTGGGAGAAAAACGTAACGACTTGGTATGTTTGTAAAACAAAATGTGCTTACGAAGTATCTAACAAGCAGGTGGTTTTGGCGCAACAATTCAGTACATAATGAAGGGAACAAATTCAGGTATTTACGGAGAACAGAAAAGCGCACATAAAATAGATCAACGCACAATTGACGAGGTCACGTCCATTAAACAAATACTGTTAAGCAGCTATAATAAAATCGTGAAGAAAACCGAGCAGGACCAACAGCATAACTGCGCAACCAGTCAGTGTGTGTTCCCGCGCTTTCTCCGTGAAGTACCAAACCAAAGATAAATATGAGTTTCAAGACTGTTTCCCTTACAATACCTAAAACACAGTATTCGTGCGCAGCATACCTATGAGATCACCTGTCTTAAAATAGAAAATGCATTAAGTTCGCTTTGAATGTACGCCAAGTTCTTTTCAAGGAAAACCACTTGATTAACATACTGTCACCTGTCACAAAGTTAAACGTAAGCGCCTCAAGATCGAAATAAGAGAGCGCGTGTTTGTCGGAGGACTGTCTTTGAGAGGAAGACATTGACTAAGCAACACAAAGTCTCCGTATAAAAGTTAAATTACAATGGCTGATGATGAACGCAAATCTGGTGCTAAAGGAATTAATTCAGACGATGTTGTTTATAGTCCACCGCCAGAGGAAAATAAACAAAAACAAACTAAGAGTAAGCCGACTTTTTTTCTCACTGGCGTCGACATGACAAAGAGATTCTAGTTCGTTTTGTGTCGATCATTTCTGATCATTTCTGAACGGTTGATTTTATTCCATTTTTCGCAGAAGATGAAGCACAGGGGAAAAAGAAGAAATAACAAGGTACGGTTATGATTACTATACCAGCGGCCATATAAAAAATGAATCTTACATAGCATCAACTTTTCAAATTGGCGGAGTTCCGCGCGGATCTTCCAATTCACCCGCTTTTTTCAGAAAGAGGACACGAACCTAATTCTCGTTGTGCGTGGGGGGAAATTCACGGGTATCAAGCCGTGTGGCTTCTAAGTAGAGAAATTCGCACATCTCAACACTAGTTTGGTAACTGTGGGCGCATAATTTCAACATATGAGAAATTTTACACTCTCAGAAATTTGCGCACGTGCTAGCCACATGTACGGTGTGTTGGCGCCAGAAGACAGAGCCGAGATGATGTCTAAGAAGCATAAAAAAGCACGTCATTTGCGGAAATGACTTGGCAGAAAGCTCACGCGTCGAGATGCATGAAAATACATAAGGCAGCCCACTTGCGGGCCAGATCCACTTTTAAATACGTATGCAAGCGAATAATAAATCCTCTATTTGTTTAAAGTCAAATTCTTCATTTAGTATGGGTGTTAGCGCTTGGTTTTGTTCTTTTATCGCGGCAAGCAACTTCCTTTTAAGCTTAAAAGACAGTGTCAATACTGTTAAGCAGCTACCATAAAATCGTGAACTTGTCTTAGCAAGCGGAAGAAAACCGTGGAGGGCCAACAGAATAACTGCGCAACCAGTCAATGTGTGTTCCCGCGCTTTCTCCAGAAAGTACCAAAATAAAGATAAATATAAGTTTTAAGACTGTTTCACTTGCAATAACTAAAACACAGTATTCGTACGCAGCGTACCTATGAGATCACCTGTCTTAAAATAGAAAGTGCATTAAGTTCGCTTGGAATCTACGCCAAGTTCTTTTTAAGGAAAACCACTTGATAAACATACTGTCACCTGTCACAAAGTTAAACGTAAGCGCCTCAAGATCGAAATAAGAGGGCGCGTGTTTGCCAGAGCAGAGATAGTCTCCGTATAAAAGTTAAATCACAATGGGTGATGATGAACGCAAATCTCGTGCTAAAGCGAATAATTCAAGAGACGTGAATTATGATAAACCGCCAAAGAAAGACGATCCAAAACCCAAGCAAGAACACAAACAGGAGCAAGTTAAAAGTAAGCCAGCTTTACTTCTCAATGGCGTCGACGTGGCAAAGAGGTTCTATTTTGTTTTGTGTCGCTTATTTCTGAACGACTGATGTTTTCCCCCCTTCTTTCGCAGAGAATAAATCACAAGATAAAAAGAAGAAATAACAAGATAAGGTTATGATTACTACACTAGTAGCCATATAATTATATATCTTACATAGCATGTACTTCTTAAATTGGTGGAGTTCCGCGCGGATCTTCGAGTTTATATGCTCTTAAAGACACTATGTTCATCCGATGAGAAACGTATTGCCAAAAAAGAGAAAGAACTCTTTCATTTACACGTTTAGCCACTCACAGATTTATTATTTCAACCGAGCAAAAAGTGCTTACGAAGCAATGTCACCCACGATAGCATGTGACTTAGGACAAACTTGAAAATAGGAAGAACCGGCGGTTACCACCCAAGATCTCTTTTTTTTTAGCAAAAATGATTTTAAGGAATGACTTCACAACATTACATAAACTTAACAACCTGATACTGCTGATACTGGCTTTTCAACTTTACACAAAAAGAGCTACACTACACTTTATCCTGAAAAAAATAAATAAATATGTATAATTGACAACAGTAAATGTAAAACTTTGCCACTAGAATAAGATAATTTACAATGACAAAATCTTCGTCTGCGATGAATATACCAATAAAACATTAACAACCGACAAAGGTTCCAAATTGATATTACATTCCATAAGCCAAGAACGGAGCGCTACCCAGAAGGACCTTGTTATTTCGCAACTGTAAAAAAGATGCTCAAGAAATTCAATCTCGTTTTTGCAAAAGGTACATTGTGGCGAATCAATCATCCTAATTTTAAATAATTTTTCATTGGTGAAAACAATGTTGTTCAAATTGTCTAATTTTTGTTTCTAGCGACACTTTAAATGAGAGCGAATATATTTCGTTCCAATCGAATTGGACATCAGGAAATTGACCCTGAAACCTCTTTTGAGCAGATAGAGGAGTTTGTTTCGCCATTTTGAATGCATTGTACAGAGATTTCGATGTGACCGAAGACAGATCAACATCAGCGTTATCAATTTTTAGGTGGACCGTGTTCCTCAATTCAGGAAGCTTGTAATGAGCACTTTGTTTAACACGTTTTCTCCGTTCAACAAGTACCGCGTCCATAAGACTCATTAACTTAAAATGGTCAATCGGAGAGGGGTCCCTGTTACCCCTTTTAAAGAAAAGATCGCCTACAGTTAAAATGTCTTCCTCCAGGAGATGCTTTTCAAAAACCGAATGCTTCTTGATGATAATGTGTTTAATGTTCTAAATTACTTGGTTCGCCACGTCCTCGTATGAGACCAGGCATCTAGACATTCTTTATAAAAAGGCGGAAGGTCAATTGGAAGTTTTCTTGTATCGAAATTACAGCGGAGGATGAACTTACCCACTACCCCAGAGAGGGAATAATCCAGGGTTATTTTCCAAGAGCTATGGTTTTCCTCGTCTGCGTAGTTTTTTAATACCATTACTCTCTGTGCGCAAATTATTGAATGAATATCTAACATTTTCAAACCACCATCATTAATATCATTTATTAGGGCAGATCGTTTGATTTTATCATTTCCTTTCCAAATAAAGTGATAAATCAACTTGCTGATTTCTTTAACTTGGTCTTCAGGTACTGAGATCAACGCTGCTTTGTTTAGAAATTTCGGAATAGTAAAAGACTTTACAATCTGAATTTCTCCTATCAGAGTAACGGCCCTACCTTTCCAACTATCTTAAGTTCCCTGGATTGATTTAAAGATAAAGTCGCAGTTGGCCTTCAATCTAGTTGAGTAGTACGTATTTTGTGAGTAAAGGCATCTTGAACAAGACTGTGCGGATCAATAGCAAAAATCTCTGTTTTTTCATCATTTACACGAAGGCCTGAGTACCTGGCAAAATTTTGTAAAGATGTTAGAGTTGAAAGTATGAGTTGGTATCTCAAAAGAAGCAGGTCATATCGTCGGCAAAAAGGGTCGTTTTGATTTCTTTCCCATTATTTAAGAAGCCTTTAATATTTGTATTTTCTCGAATTTGACATAAAAGCGTTTCCAGCGCAAGATTGAACAATAAAGGAGAAAGAGGATCGCCCTGTCTCACCCCACGTTTAACAAAAAAGATATCAGTTGTAAAGCCATTATTAAGGCCACAGCTTGACAAGTTCCTACCGTAAGTTCTAATCAATTGAAGAAAATTTGGTCCAAAACCCATTTTCTGTAAAACCTGATTTAAAAATTCGTGGTTCGTGGTTTCATCTAGCCTCATCTGAATTTCTTCGAAAAAAGTGTGTTAATAAGGGCAAAAGACCACTTGCACTGAGAGGTCACGTGACCAACGCTTCCTTTAAACAATGAGTTGGAATCTTGCTGATGCCAAAAATTGACAGAGCACACCCGTAACATTATTAAAATGAAGTTGTCTGAAGAGAGACGCTATTAGAATTTTCGCTTGCGGTTGTTTCTTGCCGAGATGAGACTCAAAGTGTTGAAACTGGCCCCAGTCTTCTAAAAAAAATCGAAGGAAATGCATTTGGTGCGCACTTTCTGCAGCTACACTGCAAAACGAGTACGGTGACCCCTATTTTTATATTTCATAATTTTAATAAGAACAGTGCTTCCTTTCAATGAAAAAAAAATTGGCATAAATCTATGTTCAGCTTTTTGGCAATTTTACTAAATTGTACGGATTAAGCTACGACAGCTTAAATAGCGCGTGTCCAAATTAAGTCTACTTTCGAGCGTAAAATAAAACAGGGCATTAAAAGGCATTTTTCGGGTACGTAAGTGGATAAACAATACATTCAAGTCAAATTCTATACGACACCACATGCATCATCGAAACAAATCTCTCCTTTTTGACTAGTTTTGGGCTGCGCGTTTTTGCCAAAAGGGCCCTAAATAGCCTTATTTGTTAGAATTGTAACGTGAAAACAAGCGCAGTGACCCCTCACTACTATTTTATCATCTTCTTGATTGTTACATTTGTTTTTCTACGCACAAAAGAGATACTGCATCCTTATGTTTCACGTTAAGCTATAGAAATATAACAACGCCTCTCTGCCTCTTACGAATCGTCTACGCAACCAAAAATAATTAAATGGGCATCTTTTCTTTCATAGTCGTATAAATCATTACTAGCCCCCTAAAGAATTTCTATGATGCTTCGTGAGGCATGAATATTGTCGCTTTATTTTGCAGGCAATTAACGAGGACGAAAAACGAAGAGGAGCCAATCAGTCTTTCCCTAAACCTCTTCACGCCGAGTGGCAAATACGTCCTCTACTAAATTCCTCCATCCTTTTCTGTCCTGGACTCTTGTGACTGCTGCAAAACATAACGTCCCAACTTTCTTCACTTATCGACCATAGTCTTCCTCCGAACTGCGTGGGCGCTCTGTCTCCCTTTTGCTTGCCGTTGTCCATGTTGGAGCTGCCTTAGCCATGGTTGTTGGCCGTCATCTCTCCCAAATACAGAATGGTTGGTTATCCTGAGGCTGCTGTGAGCTGTCCAAAACCAGTCTTTCTACATGCATGGACCCCAGGAACTTAAGGCTTGTAATTCTACACTTCTCAGATAACCAAAACTGAAGCTTTTAGTTGTTTCTTTGATATTTTCATTGAAAATTTATTTCCAGATAGAGACAATAGTGTGAGTGAGGGAAATTGGGACTGTGGTACAATAGCCAAGTTATTTGTTTGTTGTTTTTTTTTATTGTTAAAGGGGCTGTGTCACGGAAATCGGTCGCTTAGATATAAGTCGTTTCGATACAAAGCCGTTTCGATACACGGCGTTTCGATACAAACTCAACAAGTGAAATTGCACAAAAATGTTGTTCACTTCAAGTATAGTTTGCGAGTGAACAAGAAAAACATGTTGGGTGAATATCTTCGTTCTTTAAGCCAAGTAATGTGGAACGATTTACACCTCGAATGAATAAACTTGTATCGAAACGGCTGGAAACATGTTTCACGGCTGCCACGCTCATTTTGTTGTCATCGCCTATTACGCTTCCTTATGCACTATGGAACTTAACGTTAACGAAGAAATTACTTGTAAACGACAAAATCACAGCTTCTTTTCCAACAAATATACTGTTAGGCTAATAAGTTTTCAAAAGCCTACAATTTCAATCCGTTTTCAATCTTCTTCAAGTTTGTCCATCCGTACCTACGTTTGTATTTGCTGTGTTATTATTACCTTCGTTTAATGTTTTGAGTGGTTATTTTTTTGTTTCACTTAATTCGGTAGCAGTTCCTACTGTTAGAATTTTGATAAAATTCGGCGTGACACAGCTTCTTTAATACTCTAGCTATCTTTTTAGCTCTCGGTGAGTTCACCGCTGATTTAGTTTGTATGACTTAGTTGTTACAATCAGAAATAGTTATCAGTTTAACTCTACTTTCCTGTGAACGTTTGATTGCTAACGCGCTGTAATCATCTTTGTTGAGTCAGGCCATTTGTGATCTAAATATACTAACTGCAATAAAAAGCTGTAGAGATGGAGGCTAAATAATGGTTTTTAAGCACAGCAAGAGAAACAACAAAATTGAAAACATTTCCTCTAAATTTCAGTAGTTGGGAGGAAATCTAACATGGCGGAACCTCAACCGCCATTGGTGATGACGTCATATGCCCTCAACATTCCCTAAATAACAAAATGCTGAGATCACACCCTGGTAGAAAGGGTCCTAGCTCAACGCCTTAACAGCTCGAAAAACAAAGAAACGTCTACGCAACATGTTCTGCAGTTTTTCACAATGTCAAATTATCTCACAAAATGTCGAGAGCTAGCGCCAAACCCCTTCCCACCCACCCATCCCCCCTTCCACAATTCAAAACACCACTCTTAAATTTGCTACGCCTCGATAATTTGTCCGCGATTGGAATTTACACATAAGAGTTAATCCTCTTAATCTTGAATCTCAACATTTGACGTTTCTATTCGCAGAAACTCAGTTAAATGATGAATGTACCTAAATATACATCGTAAAAGCAGAGACATGATTTTCGCGCATTATCTCACTGTTTCTCCTTTGTTCCGCTACCGCTCGACCTTTTGGCTTCTCAAGTATCCGGTTGTTTGCACAAGCTCACTGTAGATTATAAAACCAACAACTTTTGCCCGGTCTCAGACAACCCGAGGCCTCCTCTGGTTAATTTGCCAAAGTCGCCTCAAACAAATTCGCGATTTAGTGCAAAAAGGCAATCAACCAGTGTATGCGAAATAAATTGCCCGTGGCCGATTTTCTTTTGAAAGTAAATTCACCAGTTCCGCTTGAAAGTATGACAGTGTCACGAAATGATGAATTCTGCTGGGCCATTGAGCTGTAAATACAGTACAACAGCAAATGACAGAAAGGGCTTCAAAAAGACATGAGAATAGAGAATAAAGAAATGACCGCAGAAGAGACGCAGTAAAGAAAAAAAGACTATCAACTGGAACGGCCATAGAAATCATCAGGAGTGGCGAGTGAAACGCACTTTGTACCCGAGATGAAAATAATCTTTTTAGTGGCACGCAAATTAACAGTCAAATTTCTTATCTGATATAACAGCTTTTTCGGCAAGCAAATGAACAAAGGACACTTTATCTTGTATGCGCTAATTATTTGCTCAAGAATGTTTCCATAACATTTGACTCTTTTAAGAGGTTGATTTAGCCTTTTTAAGTTTCAATTTATTTTTTACAAGTGAGCAATGCAGCAAATTCAAAGTATTAAAGAAGATTTACGGAGATAATATAACTTTGAAAGAACCATCTGGTAACGCAGTGAAACAACAGGCTGATATGCGACCTCGAATGAATTTCTAACTAATTACTCTTCTATGCTATGAAAACTTCGTTTACTTTTCCACTTTAACTCCTACTGTCTAACTTATCTTGCCACCTGACATTAAGCTAAATGTAAGATGGAACTCAATCCATGCTGATCAGTATGATCGGTCTCACAAGATATCCTAATGAAACAGGCACGAGGCAAGAAATATTTATCAGTAGAGGCATCGCACATAATGTCATACAATCTTACCTTATGTACTAAACAGTCCGCCAAAAAGTTCCTTCTAGGGATTTAACCAACTCTCCACCCCAATCTTTCCAATTGATCACTCCTTGTCTTCACTCACAGTGAAGAAAAAATTTCCGCGCAAGCAGAAACATAAGGCTCGCAGTTGTGTGAACGCGCGGTTATCATTTCGCGTCATCAATGGATGTTATGTTGCGCATAACACAAATAGTACACGCGTCTTCCTATTGGCTCATTCATCTTTCGTGGAATGCGCGCGAGCTCTGCATACCCTCGAGCAATGAGACCACGCGCTGAAAAATCATTTTTTTTATCTACAACACGCAACGTTTTCAATCGAAGCATTCAACCGCAGAATAGTCCAACGCTATGTTCATAAGGATAGCCCTTACGCCGACACGAATGTCATACCGGATGAGGCTTATGTTCACACATAAATATGTTGATTTCAGCGCGATTTCTGCCATGCGTCGAAGATGCGTCGCGCCGAGTTTGGAAGTGGATCGTCACATACCGGATAAGTTTCTGCCACTCTTAGCCGCAGTGCTGCGGTATTCGGGCCGCAGACCCGCAGTTGAGGCAAATGAACAGGAGCGAGGACTGGAACCGACTGAGATGGAAGTTAGTATCCTTAAG